GCCGTAAGGGTCATTAAGCATCTAAGTTATAACGGCAGCCAAAGGTCAAGGGAGTTAATCGGAGTTGATGGAGGGGCCCTCCGAGTGACAGTCCTAAGAGGCTCACCTCTTAATCTCTGTTTGTCTGTGTTTTAGTACTCTTTTCCTACACAAAGCAAACAGCAGCCTCCCTCTCAATGGGGACCAGCTTGCTCCCAGTCTAGCACTTTTGACCTGTGGGTCGTGCCCTTTGTTCCTTTCTCTACAGAGGCTGACCTCAGATTTCACCTCTGTAATTGAGGAGCCCTGTAGACACGTGCCCACGGGGCCCAGGAGAGACCACCACCGCTGCAATCTCACTGCTACCTCTGTGCAGGCGGATAAGGGTGTCTGAAAATGTGTTGTTTCCTATGGGTCATAAGAAAAAAGGTTTGGCCTGTTGCATAAACATAGTCCTAACCATTATGTTAAGACTGTGTCTTAAGACCAAGTATGACCAACTACCAGTTTGCGAAGTGGCAAGCAGTCTTACTTTTTGTTACTTTTTTTTTTTTTTTTTAAATTAGACCAATCTATGTGTTTATGTAACTGGATTCAAAAAGTTATAAACAAAATTTGATGACTAGTGCAGTCTTAACAGTTTATGCAACCAGTTCCCATTGTTTTGTTTCTTGTCATGTTGTGCAAAATAATACTGCTTAATTGGCTGTAATATCTTCTACAGATACACTGTGGCTTCACATACAGTCCATTTGGTCATGTTTATCTGGGGGCACATTTTTTCATTGAATATTCCTCCCTATACGCATACTAGACGTTTGCAGAGACTTGGATGCTGACGGACTTTTCAGATCTTATAATTTTTTCTCTTAAAGTGGAAGCGTAACTCAGTTGATGAACTAGGCCACTGACTGAAGGACTGAGATGCTTTTTAAAATCTGTGCCAGGCTTTTCTTGTTGTGTTTTAATTAAGTTTTTGCTTCATGGGAGTGGTGAGACACTTGTTTTTGTTTTTTTGCTCTCCCAGAGCTCAGATGAAAAAATCGTCTTGTTATTAGTTTTGACTCATTGCCATCTCTATAAAAGCATAATTATAAGTTGTAGCTCAATGATGTGTAACACATTCCTTCAAAAGTTTTTCTAGTTGATTGAGCTGGAGAGCACGATGCTACTGTAAAGCTCCTACAGATGGTTATTAAAATCCGTGATGGTGAATGGCTTTACATTGTTTGTAAGCATACTTCATTATTTTAGATTGTGAATTTGAAATCCGCTTCAATGTTTATTCAGAAGGTCACATGCATATGTATGGGGACCAATTTGATCTCTGTGCCTCATTTTTGATATGATGATGATGATGATGATGATGCATTTTATTTGTACTGTAGTGTGCTTTTCTCTAACCCAAAGTGCCACACAGTATGGTAAACAAATATAAGATAATTAAAAAATAATTAAAAACAGAAAAATCAAACAACAAGATAATACCAGACATAAAAGACAATAAACATTTTTAAAAAGATGGTTCTTTAAAGACCTCTTAAAGCAGTCCAAAGTTGGGGAATTTTTAATCGCAAAAGAAAGTTTATTCCACAAGCGTTGGCCGGTAACCATAAAGGAGCGACCACCCATCGACTTTAATTTAAATGTGGACTGCTGTGGAGTAGAAGAGTCAGCTTTACATTTATTCCATAGATGTAAAGCTCCACAAAAAATATATAATTTTCCGATATGCATCTATAAACTGTGTCGAATGCACTTATTAAATGTTGATATTTGGAAAAAGCCCCTGTCCGCTGTTTGACTTTGCGACGACAGCAACTTGAAACTTGCTATAGCCGTTATCGCTCTTTGGTAACTTTAACCCCAGAACAGCACACACGCTTTTCAAATCACATGAGAGTCTTTTTAAAATGATCTCAGCGATGGTGCATTAAAGTGCTCTGAGCTTGAGCCCTGAAAAGTACCATAAAGAGTTTGTTTTGATTGGCGTTTGATCTTAGTCTCTGAGCCTTGTGAAGGATGGGGCCTTACAGAACAGCTCACTGTTTGGGAGTTGGCAGCCGACCCAAAACCAAAATTGTATCCTCAAATGAACTTTAATGCAATGTACAACACAACACGTGCGCCAATTTGCGACTCCCCACTCTAGCAACTCCTATAGTAAACAAGTAGGAAAATGAACGCCTGGGAATCAGCAACAGAGAATGAGAAGTAAAATAGAGATAAAGTGGTTTAAAAAAATGAGGCGGTTGGATTTCGTTGCACATTTTGTCTTGTGAGACGCGCCCTCTTCGGGATTGGCCGACAGACGTGGCGCAATGTGACGTGGACGCGTCATACCTCGTGCCAGAGCACGACCTGTTGAAATTAGGGAATCGGACTTTAAAAAGGAGAGGGCTGAGCGCTTGGAATTTGATTTAGCTGTAACGGTTTTATACGGGTGCGACTCGGCCCAGTTTTGGTGTTGAATCGAGGGTGTGGTATGTGGGATGTAGGAGGAACCAAATATGTACGTGTGTGTGTGTGTGTGTAATGAGAGGTCAGTGCCATGAGGGAGCCAGAAAGAGAAGGCCGAGAACGAGGCAGTAAAATCTGGGCGGATCGGGTGCTTTCGGTCCCTCCTCCACGTCAGTGTGTGTGTGTGACAGCCTGATGAGCAGCAGCACCCTCCGCGCAGCCATGTTCACTGGTTGACGAGCAGTCTTTTATCAAATGTTTAGTTCGCTAAACACAGAAAAGCTGTTTGTGATATTACACTGGCGGTCCGAGGAACAGAATCAGGCACAGGCCCCACACTAGCATGTTTTGGTATGTGTTTTTGCATTCTTTTTGAGCTTGTTTGCAGTAAAGATATCACCTGTTTGAACTTGTATCAATTCGCATTGATTAAACAAAAAAAAAAGTTTTGCACTAGACAGTACTGGCACGCTTACATGAGCGTGCAGTAGATGCACAAAGGATTGTTAGTAAAATAAGCTACAGAATAACGAAATCTTGAGTCTGTTTTCTGCATCCTCACCACCGCTCGAATTTGGATTCGAAAGGGAGGCATGACCGAGGTGCACCTTAAAAGAGTGAAAAACACTATTGATGGCGCGCTCGGCTAATTATTCCTCCACCGGGCGAAATCTCAGGTAGGCCGTGGGTGCAGTGTGTGTGTGTGTGTGTGTGTGTCTATGCGAACACTGCAGATCATATCTCCCTGCAAACTGCGACAGATGTTTCACCTCCAGACCGTCTCACACATACGCCTGTTGCTTCTCAACTCCTTCTCGGGGCAGCGGGATGAGGTCCCGTTAATGTTTGCAGATGTAGAAAGACACCCCAACATTTGCGCACTTCACTTTTCCCAGCATCCCACATCATGGTATGGTAGTCTTTTAACTGCTGAGCGTTTTTGTATTACTTTCTCTTTCTTGTTTCCGATTACTTGTTTTGTTGTTCAGTGCATTCGAACCAGAGAACAGCTTCAAGGATTGAGTTTGGTTTTGGCAACGGAGCGTGTGCACGCTCTGTAAATTAGGTTTGAATGGTTTGTACTGGTGTGAGCGTATGTTTCTGTGCACTCTTCGGGTGAACCGGAGTCTGTGTCACGCTTCCTTCCACTGTTCAGCCCTTCCTCCCTCCCTCCCTACTCGAGCTTTCGCTCACTGGCTGGAGCGATGATTCAAAAAAAAAAAAAGCAAAAAAGATTGCTCACGTACTCCACTGCCTCTCGGTTTCATCATCAACTTTTTTCCCCCCACTTCAGTTTTCCCTCTCTCTTCTCCTCTAATTCCCTTCCTCCCTCCCTCCTTCTCTCTCTCTGTGCAGATAGAAATAAAAAAAAAAGCCTCTACCGCTGTACAGTCCCCACCCCTTCACCCAGTCTGTGCCAAGAGAAGGAGGGATTTCTACTACTCATAGGATTTTAACCCTGTAGCGCAACCGATTGGCTCAAGCAGCTTCTCTGCCACTTCAGTTTTTCCTCTCCGTCTTTTCCGCCACTTCCCTAAACCTCGTGGTCGTGTTCTTCTGCGGTTGTGTTACCTTGAGACACTTTCAAACGGTGCATTTACGGTAGATGGAGGTGTGTGCCATTTCTCGTCCTCGCCAGGGGTTAACGGATCCTTTCTGTTGCTGAGCTTTGAAAATGGCTGTATTCTCCCTGCTTGTTGCGTGTCTCGGAGAAGGGAGGCGCCTGGAGTTCTATCACTTTGGCACCACCCCCTCTCTCTCTCTCTCTCTCTCTCTCTCTCTCTCTCTCTCTCTTACACACACATACAGTTCTTTTTCTATCTCTTGCTCTTTCCCTCTCTTCCCTCTCTCTGAAAGGAGAGCAGGAGGGCGGTGCGGTGTTGGAGCTTTTTCTGGGACAGGTGCCAATTCCAAACAAAAGACATAAAAAGGCACTGAATGAGAGATGCCTCGATCGTAAGAAAGAAATATGTTGCACGGTGAAACGAAAGAAGTTTGTGGTGACCGAGTGCGTGCGTGGTTGCGTGCATTCAGCTGAATAGAAATGTTTGGAGTTAAGATCTGAAATACTTTTCTTCTCCATCTCTCTAACAACACTCTCATTTCTCTGGCGCTCTTCAGCCACTGAAGGCATTTCAGTCATGGGGGGTGGAAAGGGGAGGGGGCTCGGTTTTCAAGCTTCTGAATTATTCATACGCCTGGGCCAATGCTGCGATCGGACTGGCTGGGACATTAACATGCAGCGGACATTCTGTTTGTCTGTTTGCTAACATTCCTCATTCAAAGACTTGTTAACTGCTAGATGGGCCGACACACGCGTCTCTCAGGCTGCTATTGTGGCCAGGGCCCGGTTGTCCCAGACCAGGGGACCGCAGGCAGACGTGTAGCCTAGCACTGGGGACACGCAGCTGGGGTGGAAGGATTGCCTTGGCCCCCCGGCCTACCTCCTTTGGTCCTTGTGCCTGCTATGGAAAGCTCACTGCCTCTTCTTTTCCTTCTCTCTCTCTCTCTCTCTCTCTCTCTCTCTCTCTCTGTCTCTCTCTCTCTTTCTCTCAACACAGGACGGGTGAAGTGAGTAGAAAAGGCCTTCAGCACTTGTCCTGGAATGTTTCTATCTACTGATGCATGTCAATATTATGGGGTAAGTTGCAATTTTTTTGTTATATGTGGTATTTCTGCATATTTAGGTCTTTTTTCGCTTCGCCAATGTATTTCTCAAAACGTGGGTTTTTTTGTCTTTAGAATGTGTGCAAAATGTTTTTCGTTCTGGTTTTACACTTTATACGGAGGGGGGGATGGGGGAGACGATTTATGAATGATACAATTCCTAAGAAAAATGGCGTTAGGGAAATGTAAAGGCATTTCTTATCAGAACGTAACTGACATATGATGTACATGATCGACCTTCCACAGTGCATAGTTTTGGGGTTAATGTTTTAGTGACTGAGAAGAGGTACACTTTTTGGGAGTAAGAGTTTTGAGTCGTGTTATCGGGAAAATGTGTTTAAAAATTAACCTTTAATTTTCTGATGCATTCCTTGTGTGTTAACTGAAGCACTTTAGCAGTGAATGGACCTCAGCTATTTGTGTAGGGCCTTGTGTTTGATTAGCACGTTGTACTGTCGTTTATCTTACGAACTGTTCATTGCGATTAATTTTTAATGTTATTTTTATATAGTTATTGAATTATAACATGGGCGCTTATGGATAGAGGCACTGTAAACGTCACATCAGAGGTTAGTTTGTGCAATTGTGCATTAAAATTAGAAGAAATGAGGAAGTATGTCGCGTTAATTATTGAATTGTCAATGAGTGTTCTTTTTACATTTTTTTGGGTTGCTTATTTTAAATTATTTCAATGGAGATGTAAAGGCATGCAAATTCAACTAAAAGTTGTCAATTTGACTCTAAAATATATTAATGTTTAAATGTACACATATATAAATATGTTGACTTTGCCCATATTTCATTTGAATTTAGCAGAGAACAATATTTGCAATTTAAAAAAAAATGTTAACCTGTAATATACATTCTAGTTGTGTACTCGAGGCATTTGCTGAATCTGAACGATTTATGTATAATTTGAAGTCTTTTTTCCTTTGAAGAAAAATGTTTTGTAAAGATGTCTTTTGTTTAAATTTTATGCTTGTGTAAAATAATTCATAATCACAGTTTTCTTTTTTGTTACACACACACACACACACACACATAAAAATAATAAAAAACTCTCTTAAGGCCCTTTGAATATTTTATAAGTAAAATCATGTTTAGGTTCGCTGAGATTTCAGAATTTAACAGCTGATCTCTGGGTGATGATAAAGGATCATTAGACATAAAACAGCATTGTGTTTGATTAATACATTATCATGTAGGATTTAAGGGCATAAAAGTAAACAGTTGTGTTTCATCGTTCAAACTAATGATTTTGGCTCATAGCAGGCTGTTTATTAGCACGAGTGAGAATGCCAGGGGCAGTGCTGATGAAGTGTGTTGGCACAGAAAATGCACACTGGGTTGGCAGTGCCCTCCCCCACCCCTTTTTTGGGATGTGAATGGAGTGTTCCAGGGATGATGTATAGTGTAAAGAACAGAGCAGGTGGCATCATCTAAAGAACAATGAGGGGGGTTGGCGCAGGAACAGATTTTCAGGATAAAATTACGTCTTTTAGTCATTTGTACTACAGATTTGTCTTTTTTTTTGTGTGTGTGTGTGTGAGAAAATTTATGTGGTTTTAACATATATGCTGACTAGTTTACTCTGTAAAGATTAAACATTGATTCTTAAAAATGAACTGAAATTATAATTTTAAGGATTAGTTTTTTTATGTGCTTGTGTGGGATCATTTTTATAAAATTTTGCAGAGAAAATAGAAAATAATGTGTCAAGCTGGGGCAAGGCATTCCCAGACATGCCGAAGAGCAGCGAGCATGTGTGCACTAACTGAGACACCCGCCCTCGCTGTCACATACAGACGTACACACACTCTCTCACACACACCCAGACACACTTGCTGCCATGTGCTCCATAATAGACCTCTGATTCAGCCCTGAATAGAGTTCCCACGCCTCAGTGTGTGTGTGTGTCTGTAATAGTTAAGGGTGTAGGACCCCCCCACCCCCAACCCTTTTCAAAAGATACTTGTGTACTCTCACACACAGTCTAGACTAAAGATGTCTCCTTCATTCTGTTTAGAGGTGTATTTTAGAAGCTACACACTGTGAATTGATAATTAGTTGATTTCGGATGAAGTTCCAAGGGTTGAATTTAATGCAGGATATGTGACAAAGTGATCGAAACAATTAGAAGCCTCGTAGATTCTCATCAGTGTTACTTACTTTTTTTATGTTTTGTATTTCGGGTTATTTTAATTGTCAGTTTAATGGAATTGTGTGTAATTTCAGCTCAACCACAAAAGATGATTTACAGCATTACTGATGCAAATGCAATTGTATAATGATCATCCGATTGCAGTATATAATTATTATTGGGGGGGAAAACGTAGCTAGAAAAGATCAATTATGTTTATGTACTTTTTTGACATTTCTAGCAGAGAAAGGTGATGGACACTTGCATACTGTTGTATGGATGTCTCCAATATTTTAAAATAATTTCATGAACACATTTGTAGATTCACACACATTCATTCATGAAGAAAAAAAATGGTTTCATTTTATTTAGTCAACTTAATTTGTGAATGGATATTTCACTTGAATTTTGACTTTAAACTAAAGACAATTTAATTTAATACTTTGAAGAATCATAATCAAAAAGTTCTTACAGTGTTTGAGATATAGATTAGTTTTTGGTTTTTTAAAGCACTAAGTTGGAGTGATGATTGATTTATGATTATGCTTATATTTTTATAAAATGTCTTTAAAATGTCTTCCTTTGGGAAAAAGAATGCGCACAGATGAATTCGAAATATTACAAATATTGTTTGCTGTATTGCTAATAATTTTGTGTTCTGGAAAATCTGTGTAATTTTAAACTGAAAATGAAGGAAAGACAAATGTATCCGTTTAGTGTTTTTCAACTTTTCGATTTATATGTAATTCATTAAATGTCACTTCTGAATTGTATAGCAGACCCACAGAAAAGTGTAGTGCAGTTTCCATATCTAATTTACACCGTTCATAAATTACAAGAACAAGAAAAAAAAGTATTTAAATTAATACGTATGAATAACTCGATTATTTAAGTTTTTAACACTATGTATTTTTAGAATTTGGTTTTGATGGCAGAAGTAGACATTTTCTTCTACATTTCTTTACAATCAAGAACCTTAAGCCAGTAAACTCTTATAGACACTATGAAGTGAAAAGGAGCGGAGTAAAAGACTGTGGGGTCATTTAGGGATAGCAGTACTCAACTAATTTGTTTCCCATGGGCACAATGTGAGCCAGACATGATTGGCAGGTGACAAAAGGTGGGGTGGAGCTGAGTAATTGTTCAACACTAAGATGATGTCATGGGCAAGTCTTGAGACCAAGAGCCGCTAACAGTCTTAGCAAAGGCTTGAATGTCATATGATTGTGATAGTTTGTGCTTTGTCTCACTGACATTTATATTAACCGTTTTTAGGTTTTTATATCAAAACGAAATGATTTTTACCTTGATGTTCTTATTTTTTACAATTGCAACAAAAAATATTACAAGAAGCCATGGCCTGCTGCCCAGACAAAGCATAATAATATTATGATACCGATCACTTGTGTAATCTGCGGTTTAAAGTTCAAGCTCAAGGTCCACTACAGACATTGTAATTGTATTCACGCTCTGCTGTAATCAGTCTGGGATATCTCCCCCCCTCCAGTCACATGAGGTCTTATTCATTTTTTATTTTTATTTTATAGCTTTCTGTGATTTTGTTTGAACAGATGTATAATACAGGCACTCAAGACGGCTTTGCCTTAGGAGCGATAAAACAGCCAGAGCATAATTCTGTCAGTCAACAGTTCTTAAATCATGCAACAAACAAAATGTTGCTTCAAAGATCGTGCGGCAGATTTCTCTTCGGTCTTTTGTATCTGCAGTATTGATGCAAAGCAAATAGGGATATAAACAAAGTGCATCAGACGGTGATTAAAGGAAATAAGAATCACTGTTTAGCTGCATTTCGGTATAATAGGCCTATTGTCGCTGAACGGCTCTTTCACTCTGAGGAAATGTGTATCCAGTTTTTGGTATACAGCGCCACCTTATGGCTGTTAGCTACTCCATAAGCTTTCAAGTGTACCCGTAATTCAAGAGCTTATGGTTTGTTTCACTACTAATGTGAACTGCAACCTGCCTGCTTTTATCAGTAGCGATAATAATCCCATAATGTTCTCAATAATGTTAGTAATCAAATGTGCATAAGGCTTTGAGTGGTTTTGATGAACCAGCTTTAGGTGAAGTCCAAGCGGAGATGTCTGCTGTTAGCTCTTTCTCGTAAAAAAAAAAAAAAAACACAACAAATAAACAATTTTACACTTTAGTCATGACATACAGTGAGATGTAACTGTTCCAGTGACTGGAGGATGTCAATTCATGTAGCAGTGATTGATTTTAATCTTTGATCCAAATCAAAAACCACAAGAAAAAATGACTTTATTGTTGCGTTTTATTTAAATCAAACACTTTACAAAATCTATTGTCAGTCATGTTGACAAAATACAATATAATAACGATTTGAGTAAAACGTTTTATGAGCTCCACATCATGGTTCATGTTCTCCAGCATGATTTGAGATGATCCAGAGCATCTTGAAGTTTAGTCCAACTAAATCTGACCGTCTGTATGGTCCAGATTAATGTGATCAAATTTGATAGATGACCTAGAAATAGTGCTGGACAGTGGACATTAATTTATTTCTCGTTCATTTTACAATTTCATTATTTAAAAAATAAATAAATAAAAATCCCACCCTGCAAAAATCAATTCGATGTTTTTTTAAATTGTTTGTCTTGTTTTCCAGTATAAATATCTGAACCTCATTAAAAATATGTGAATTTGTTTTAAAAGGAACTTCTTTTCAGAGTGCAATATTGAATTTTTATTTTTGATATTATTTACAATTTAGTAAATCTAAAAAACTGTCAGGTTTTAACAAGAAAGCTTATCTTAATATTTTCTTAATTTGTGTGTGTGTGAGTGTGTGTAACCACTCAACCCTGTGAGGTTCGTGGGTTGTGTGAGTCAGCAGTGTGTGTGTGCCTCCCCCTTGTCTGAGGTAAACCATACTACTGCCCACAGCTTTACTCACTCACACTGAACCTTCCCCGATCTGACCACACACACACACAAACCAGTTCCCAAACACCGCAGTCCTAATCCTCTCATGCACCCCTGTGTACTGTCAGGGTCAGCAGTAGACAGACATACAGCACAACAGATGATAAAAGTCAAACAGGACATGGACCTGATGTAGGTACTCGAGTATGTGAATTCTGTGCCTGACTAATTTTCTCTCTCTCTCTCTCTCTCTCTCTCGTCTTTTCACAGATGGCAAACCCAGGAGGTGACTGTCTACCTTTCTCATGTTGGTGACCTTGATGGTTTTGAAGGATCCCAGACTGAATCTTTGGAGATAGAGGTGATAGGGGGTGTATTTAGTGCACAGCAAAGAGTGTTGAATGGTAAACAGTTTTAGCCCACATATTTACCATTTCAGGGTCTTCAATTCACATTTTAGTGTCTTACGTCGGCCTAATGAGGTTAGTTGGATATTAGATTTAAAAAAACAAGAAGGTACACTGGAAATGGAAACTCCATTGCAGGAAGAGGAATAAAGAGACTGTCGTTTGGGGTGAGGTAGTAGGTTGTATAGTTTGAGGGTTTAACCCTTGCTGTCAGATAACTATACAACTTACTGTCTTTCCCGAAGTGACCGTAGTGCCATCGCATCACATGGAGGACGTCAACTGGAAGGAAGAAATGACACATTTCCAGGATCCAGCATTAATCTGTGTTCATTAAATGCTTTTATGCTTAACGTAGGTTTAAATGTTTATCAGATATTCACAATGAAAGATTATTTCAAAAAAAAGTTTTAATTTGTGAAATTTGTGTTAGGTACACATCAATGTAATGCAGTTTTGATGCATTATAATGCAAGCATTTAAGTTTGCGGTGATTACATAAAGGGAACAGTATAAGCTGATACTAATGATAACATGTATGGTGATTTAAAGAAAAAGTAGAGAGAATTTTAAATTACAGAGACATGAAATCTTTTTTCTTTCCGTCAGTTACATCAAAGTCACAACTGATTTTGATTGGACAAAATATCAGTGTAGTGAAGCTTGTCGCCCCCAAATTTTTAAAAGAAAATCTTCTATGAAAACGCAAGCATGGAGATGGGATAGGTTCAAATCTAATAGGAGCTACAGAACATCATAGATAATAGAAAAGAATTGTAGTTAAAATACCAGTCGCTGCTTTGTCGTGGAATATTCAGCAGTGATGTTCGTACAGGGTGAGGTAGTAGGTTGTGTGGTTTCAGGGTTGTGTTTTTACCCCACAGGAGATAACTATACAACCTACTGCCTTCCCTGAAGGGCAGCAAAACGTCGCCAGTCACGGTTCATTCACTTTTTCTTTTTCTTTTCTTAATTGTCTTGGTTTTCCAAGCTACTTGTGACGATCTTGCCATCAATAGCTGCATTAGCATTACTTGATACATCACAGATGTGTAATACTTCAAACTGAAATAAATCGTTTTATATTTTAAAGATTGACTGTTTTTTTTTCTTCTTTGCCTGAAGCATGATATGGATGTTAAAGGATACGTCAAAAATAATCTTTTAGTGATGTTCTATTGTGAGTTCAATTCTGACATTTACTGTTATTGTCTCTCCAAACCAGTGTGACGTCTGTCTTCTGTGAAACAAAAAAGGTGCATTTTTAACAATATCCCCTGCCATTCTTTTCATTATAATGAAGTGAAGGTGGTATGACTATATTTATGGCACATTTATTTCCGGTTTGACGCTCGGAATAGAGTATATTCTGTCTCCTTCACGAGGATGTAATGAGACTATGGCATTGCATTATTTTCAGTGTATTAAAGATGCAATGCAGAGCCAGGCAGAGTGCTTCTGCCAGCATAGCTTGTATTGTAAATAAAATATGGCCATGGCTCCAGACGGCCATTAGCCGATGTTAACAGCTACAGGGCTGGTAGGCAGGCTGACCTTTCACTGTTGCACAATTTATGGGCACTGGCTGGCAGATCTCCACAGGAGCACCCCTAGACTGGCACTCACAGGAGAGGAGTATTAGCAAGAAAGGACAGAATGCGATGGCCAGGTCACCTTGAAAAAGTTTTGTTTCTTTGGAAACGGGTGTTATGCATGCTTCTAATGGCAGCATTACCTAGGGGAGTGTAACACCATTGTTATTATTGAAAAACTACTTTATGCACATTACAGTAATTCATTAAGAGTTTAATACTTTTCCCCTGTGACTGCCTCTGTTTGACCCTTTCACTCCTCGAGAGCTTTTTTTTGTCTTCACAAAGACAAAATTAAATAACCAAATCGAATTATGGTAAGCTACTATGTAATACAAATGGGAAATTGTCTTTAATGTGTAGGAATTTCTCCCATCTAGCAGTGAAAATGTATTTCGTTGACCTAGTACTTTTTTCCCTCTCTGCTATTATAGTTTTTCAAGATGGCAGAACTACATGGAAGCCTCCATGGACCTACCTGTTCCATGTATTTAAAGATGATAAAGTCTTCGTTTACGATGATAAGTCAGATAATTGGCAGAGGTATTTGTTCATCATTGAGGGCATATTTATGAATAAAAATAGAATATCACCAGTAGGTGTCAGGAGAGGCGTGTTAATGTGACAGTGTGAAAAAAAAGGTAAAAGATAAATCCTCTTTATTATATGTAAACATAACTTTATTATTGAGACAACATGAGCCAGATTATTTTAATTCAGTATGAGTAGTTTTTGCTCTTAGGGCATGAAAAACAAGATTTGAACGACAGTAGGCTATGCATTTTTTATTTTAACTGAATAGATACTGTACTAGACATAATACAGTAATAACAAGGTTACACTGTGTGTATTTAACAAACCAATTAATACATTTATATAAAACGAGGTGAAAACAAAAATAACAGCTTAAATTATTGTGAACGCAATTGAGTTTGTTCCTGTTCGGCCAGCAGATGAAGAACCTCATACAAGTTGAACTTTGCGTATATTTATTATCAGAACATGATGATGTGATTGCATCTAAGATTTCTACAACCAGTGAAGGTACAACCCTTTGGAAACCCAACTCAGACTATGTAGAAAACCCCCACACTCCCTGTGACAAATATTTACCATAGCTCTAAGAAAACCTCAGACTGAAATCTTCATTGATTTTGTTGATTTTTTCAGACTGGTAAAACTAGCGATCAGGAGTTTTCAATCTCATCTGAAATGAGCATTGTTGGAGTAACTCATTACAAGTAATCAGATTACTTTTTAATGAAAGGAGTAAAGCATTACAAATAATGTGCGTTACTTTTAATATGAGGACAAAAGCATTACAAGTGACGTTACGTAACCAGATTACTTTTAATGTAACAAGTAAATCATTACAAGTGACGTGCATCATGTAATCAGATTACTTTTAATGTAAGGAGTAAATCATTACAAGTGACATGCGTTACGTAATCAGATTACTTTTAATGTAACGAGTAAATCATTACAAGTGACATGCGTTACGTAATCAGATTACTTTTAATGTACGCGTAATCATTGACATTACATAATCAGATTAATGTAACGAGTAAATTATTACAAGTAACGTGCATCATGTAATCAGATTACATTTAATGTAACGAGCAAAGCATTACAAGTGACATGCGTTACGTAATCAGATTACTTTTAATGTAACGAGTAAAGCATTACAAGTGACATGCGTTACGTAATCAGATTACTTTTAATGTAACGAGTAAATCATTACAAGTAACGTGCATCATGTAATCAGATTATTTTTAATGTAACCAGTAAATCGCTACAAGTGACATGCGTTACATAATCAGATTACTTTTAATGTAAGGAGTAAAGCATTACAAGTGACATGCGTTACGTAACCAGATTACTTTTAATGTAACAAGTAAATCATTACAAGTACCGTGCATCATGTAATCAGATTACTTTTAATGTAACGAGTAAAGCATTACAAGTGACATCGTTACATAATCAGATTACATTTAATGTAACGAGTAAAGCATTACAAGTGACTTGCGTTACGTAATCAGATTACTTTTAATTTAACGAGTAAAGCATTACAAGTGGCATGTGTTACGTAATCAGATTACCATTTTATTTAATGAGTAAAGCGTTAGAAGTAACGTGCATTAGGTAATCATATTATTTTTTGATGTAACCACCAGTAAACTAATGCATTAAGTAACTGCAAAATCATTCTAATAACACAAATACATTTTTGTAAAGCCCCCAAAAGCTAAAATACTGTATAGTTTGTGATGCATGATTTCTTATATAGTGGACAGGTGATTAATCAGATTTTCCTCCCAATCTAAAATCAATACTTGGAAAATTTAACAGTGATATGACTCCTTTTTTACCTACAAGAATCTCCTAGGATAGAAGTAATGTATGTGAGTGTATAGGAAGGATGGGTTGGTCCACTCGAGTGGTTAATGTGCAGCAATGCCTCAAAACCCCAGAAAATGTCCCTTTGAATAGCTGTGTACTTACTGTAGTGACCTCTATCTGTGAAAGGGTTCGTTCATTTACCGAGATATTATTTAGGCATTACGGAGAATGAAATAATTCCATCATCTTTATCATCATTATCCTCACAATGAGATCTGTTGCCCAGCAACGCGACCTTAAATCGGTCGGAGTGGCTTTCTCTCAAAAAGGCTGCGCCGATTGGCCGAATCTGTGGTGTGTCGGTAGGTGTGCGCTGTCGCGAGCTCGACTTGTGTCAGAGCGGTTTGACAGCAGTGGTTGCGGTGAATTTTAAATAGGATGTTAAAGGAGTACTACAGCCTCAATCGCACCACCGAGTTGAGATTTGGCAGTGTCACAGTCCGTGTGTTTTATTCCTGCCTGCATGGCGGCCTGGGATTGGGAGGTAGACGCGCAGCTCTTGTAAACAAAGCCCTTGTGTAACATTATGATCATGTTTTATCCGGTTTTATGGCCGTAATTACTGTGGTCCTATACGCTTTTAGCTGGAGCAAAGTAAACATTCACATAAGAACACATGTCTGTGCTATTTTCACAGCGAGGCTCTTATCACAGTCTGGAGAAGACAGTGCGTTTGCTACAGTTTATCAAGATTTAAACTCGTGTTGGAACCGAAGCGAAACTTTACAGCGTCTGTTGGTCGCTGATTCAGCCATCGGGTTGGTTTCCTGGTTAGTTGGTTGGTCAGTTAGTTAGTTAGTTGTTATGGTGCTTTTTTTTTTTTTAAGTATATTGCAGCATATTTTTTTTCCCGTAGTGTAAACACTAACGTTACACGCATGTAATAATACTGTTAACTAACATAATCATGCATAACAGCATCATTGAGTCTATCATTTATATTTATATCATTATATCATATA